CTGCCGCCGACTCCGCTACCGCCTCTTGTCGAGGTGGATTTCCGGAGTCGACGGTAGAGCCATCAGGGATCGATTTTACCGCGTCCTCACGAGACGCGGTAAGTCGATCCCCGATAAACCGATTGCTACCCGCCGGATCGGCGGGTAGTGAAGATGTAGCCTGAGAAAATCTAGCCCCTAATTTGAACCACTGAGCCTAAGACTTAGATAGTACATATCATACAACATGGAACGCTCCTCCTCTTCATTGTGTGGGTGCATGTCTCTCCACAGTTAAGAGCACTGTAGCTGATATCTGATAATACAGCATTACTTTCAAAGGGCAGTGCGGCACCCTGAGGAGTATTCATAGAGTTATAGAGGAAGATGTGGGGACAGCAAGTCCACTACATTCTTAAAGTGACAGCACTTTACACATAAATTCATGAATGAGCATTTTACCCTTCAATAAGCAACATGAAATGAGTCTAAAATGTCAGACTTTGGTTTGATTTTTGTGACTTTGGTGAGTTTGTGTTTTCGTTACAACTCTTATTTTACTAAAGCCGGCTCATGTGTGTAACAAGATAGTGTTGTGCATAGTGTTTCCTTGTTTTGAATTGGTGCCTATACAGTACAATACCCTACATGCATATAGAACTGTTCATCTTGCAGGATCTGAAAATGTATTTACAGACCATGTACAGGAATCACTTAATTCACCAGTGAACAGCAACTACTACTGGGATAGAAGGCCTCAACAGTGCTTTAGGTGTGGGTTATGAAGAACTATGGCCAGCTGAAACTTCAGGGAGAGTTTTAAGCAGGCAAAATGTAACTGCTTGATTGGCAATTTGGCCTGGAAGAATACTGGGACAAACCCCTCTAACACTTATGCAAAAAATATGCAGTGCATTCTTCAATGATCACAAATAGACAGAGTCCCCGATGTATGTGGACAATAAAAAAAAAAGTTTCTAATTATATTTTAGCTGAACAGATGAAAGCAACAGTTGAATAAGTTTGAACAGTTTGAAAGTTTCTGTAAAACATTAAATAAATAACTACTTGCGTTTTCCATAACTTAAATGGACCAGCTGCTATTAAAAAGGCATGAATAATTTGAAGTTCAATTTACTGAAAGTTTCCTCATTTTTTGGACTGGATTTTAGGTATTTTTCCCTCTATCCTGACACAGTTTTCACTGATTAAATCTTTATCGTAGTTTTAACTGCCCTTTACATCTAAAAATCTTTTTTCTCCATGGAATATAGAACAAACTAAAGCTACAATTTCTAACACTTTAAATAAACATTTAGTACAACTAAGAAAATAAATAATTATTTGTTTTTAATTATTTTAATTTATTTTTAAACTAGCGCCCCAATGTAAACATTAATGTAGTTTTTAAAAGGATTTTATTGGAACGTGTGGGTTAGGCATTGGAAAACATCACAGAACGTTAATGTTAGTTTCCTGTAGACTCACAGGTAGAACCTAAATTGTTCAGTCATTCAAGTGAGATCAGCAAGAGTACAGCTTCTGTATAGGGCACACTAATGCTGTTAATTGCATCAACTGCAAAGGAAGCGATAGTACTTTCCCATACTTAAGGTTCAACCCTACAAATTGCCAAACACCTCCTGTGAAGGACTGAGAACCCTCCATTTCCACTGACTTCAATAGGAGTTGAAGGCACACAGCACCTTGCAGGATTGATCTGTAATTACTAGAAGAAAAGTGCAAAAGCAATCCTAAGGGGAACTGTGAATAATGATAAAATTATCAGTTGTTCCCCAACCCCAAAGGTTCCATTACAATATTTTTAAAAATACATTGAAATAAACATTACTAAGCATAGGGATGTATTAGAACAAAAAGGAAACCCAAATCCAGACAATCCCTGCACCAGAGCACCAAATAGAAGTTGTCTTCAGTGATTTGAAGTGCAGTTGTCTTCGGTGACAGTTTAAGGGAAATATATATAACATTACATTTCCACTAATTCAAATTATTTTTTAAAATAACTCTTACCGTTACCATTTGAAATTCAGTTAGTTCTTATACAACTGACTGCAGCTCAAGCACTGAAATGTTCTTATATAGTGCCTGATGTGGTACATAACAGCTGAAATAAATAGCTCTCTATTGTGGTTTTCATCTCTGACCTGATTTTTCCTATGTTTTTAGGATACACCATATGATCTGTATTTGAAAATGAAGAATCCTAGTTTTCTCAACACTGTCAATTTTTGCTCAAGGCTATATGTTGTAACAGTTTCCCGCTTGTGTATATTGGTAATAATTTATCATAGTCAGGCAAACAATATATAATACGTGCTGCTGATTACTTCTAAAGACAAAATTTAACGGTTTCATTTACTCCTGCACATTTGTTATGAACTATGTCATCAATTTAAAAGTAAGGCATTTTCTGTATAAAACATGGGATTTTACTGGCTTCGGTAGCAGTGTTGACATCCACACCAAAATTCATGAATGAGACACTCATTCTCCAGGGGTCTATAGGATAAAAAAGAGCCCTGCACTTATTTAATGTATTGTGACATTCTGATAAAGAATTGTGACAAGCTGACATTATGGGCCAAATCATCAGCTGGTATAAATCAAGGTCACTGT